TGGCCGTGGCAAGGAAAGGGATAGGAAGAGGAGAGCATACTATGTCCCCAACACCGAGACCACTCACGGGCCATGCTTCAACGCTCTCAAATGCGGCGCAATACTTGTTGCACTCTTGTTGGATGAACAACCACCTCTTTTGAATCGAGCCGATGCCACGGTTGCTTGTAATTTGGTAGGGCTCAAACATCTTCCTTTCATGGAATGTTTTGTGGACTCTCGTCCAAAAAACAATGCCCTTTTTGTTGCGTGCCGGTCCTCGGATCTTGGCTAATCTCCATCCAAGCTTGGCAAATCAACTTATCCTCATCTTGTGTATATGAACCCGTGCGAATGCTCTTCCTCTTCTTTTGTGCTTCCGCTCTTTGGGTGAGCTCGTCGATGAACAATGGCTCGCTACTAATATCAACGTCATTGCCTTCTTCTTCATCACCATCACCTTCGACATAGATGTCATCGTCTTCATGTCACGAGTCACCATGGTCATAGCGGCCATGCCCACCCTCGAAGATCACGTCCTCCATGTACTAGTTGTAGAAGGGGTTGTCGACCGTTGGTGTTGGTGTTGGCATTCCGTCAAACAAGACACGGGAGGCCGACATGGTGCCCGTGAACGGTGCCCGTGCTTGCTTTCTTTGCATCTCGACGGAAGGACGGCCGGCCGCTGCTGCTTGACCCAGGCGTGACGTTGAGGTCGATGACGGCCGCTGGGCGCGGTGTGGACGGCGCGAACAAGCCCATGTCTGGCGACCCCGAGAAACGGGTATGGTCGTCGTGCCTTGGTGAAGGAAAGTCGGGCGACATGGGCGCGGTCCGCGATGTCGGCGACTGGCAGGGCGGAGGCCGGGCGACCGACGAGCCTGTGCTCGTCGGGCCGACGGCCGCTGCAGGGAACCCGGCCGGATGGCCCATGCCAAGCATGAGGAGGGCGTGCGCTTTGTTGACGAGGTCCTCCTTCTCGTCGACCGCGGCCTTACGCCGCGCGACCTCCATCGCATCGCGCTGGGTGGCGAACTTGGCCGCGGCGGCATTGACCTTGACGATCGTTCTCCATTCCCTCCTCTTCGCCGATTCCGCGTCCAACTTGGCGATCTCCTCCGGCGTGCACTCCAACCGCGGCTTCCTTGGCGCCTTGGCCGCCTTCTTCTTCACCTTTGTGGGTGGGTCG